GGGTTTAAACTCTAACTTGCAGGTTGTGTTTTCTAGACCTCGAATCACAGACAGATAAAGGCACTGAACCTGTTTACTCTGGAGGCTGTAGTTTGCTGCAGAGGGCAAGAGACCTGACGGTTCGCATAGAACTTATTTCCAAATAACATGAGAGGAGGCAGAGCAAGCTGAAGGACAAGATGGTGGCTTTTGTTCCTTCTAGCCCAATCCTCCACAGGAAGTATTGCAACTGAATAGATGCCATCTTACTTTAGATATGTAATCATCCCATGTACAATTCTCAGATAGCACTGGTCAGGATGGATGGACCAAAGAGTTTGATATCTGGAGAAGTGCCATCAGTGAACATGACAAGATGATGCAAAGCTGGAGGAAAACATGGGTAAGAATTTTTGGGAAAGATATCTCCTACAGTGCTTTCTACATGATGCACCACAGTCCTCAGTTTACAAATAGCCTATGATGCTTCTGCAACCAAATGTATTTATATAACATTTGTGATTAGTGTTTCTGTAAACGTCATCATTCTCGACCCTCTCAGCCGTAAAATCTGCTTCATCTATGACACATATTACGGTTATGTCAGCTTGCTCCTTCAGTCCACTAACGAAGTGCTAATCAGTCAGTAGATCTCGTCCTGCCCAAAGTCTGTGTATACTGAACATAGTAGATTAATTTCATCGCATCTATAGACTAATTGGATTGCAGAGACTACTGGACTTCATAAATGGTACTGTTCATCAAAGCTGGCCTTCCTTAAAAAAAAAAAACAACAAACAACTCCATGCTTAGCTTTTACTGTTTTTCTCCAAGTTGGAATAAAAAGTACTTTTGATTAACTTCTGGATATGACATGTGCTTGTTGCACGTGGAACAGTTAGTACAGGCAAACTTTAAACCCCATTTTAATTTTTAAAGCAATGTTAACACATCATTCTGAACTTTTTCTTCTTCAGGAGAGCTGCAACAAGAAAAACAGCCTCTAACGGACAAATAATGAACAACAGGCTAGAAGGAAAAACGTATGCAAGTTAGAATATCCAGCCCTCTTAATATTACAGCATTTAAAGAGGTAATTATTAGTGCTAGTGCTGGCATTAAAAATGATATTCAGAAGAATCAGCTGAAGCTGGAGGTGGAAGAGGATGCCCTTACTGCACCAAAGAATAAGTTACACGCCACAAGAGAGCCCACCCACGCCATGCTGGAACTATCTCAGGTTTTCTGATGCCAGTTATTTCAGCTTAATGAAGAACAAAAGTGGTCTCAGTACGACTTGTGCTGCTCAAACAATGTAATACATGATGTGTTGCTTCTGTTTTGAGTTCATTAAGCAATTCAGTTGATTTTGGTCTTGAGGATCTTGGCATATGATTTAGAGATTAATAATAACATGTGGATCACATTTATTTAAAGGCACTTAACTGGCCCATTTGTTTTCTTTTAACGTGTTTACCCTTACAGTCTGTTCCCAGTTTGAAGTGCGTTCCTTTCTGGTGTCAGCAAGTTTATTTGTTCAAACACATTTCCTTTGGTAATAAAGTTTCTGTACCAAACAAAGAACTCCTGACTAACGCTCAAAACACAGATAGATTACAAAGCACCCAAGTTAAAGCAGACTCTTTAGTTTTTGCAAATTATTCTTCTATATTTGAGATAACTGTGGTAGCTTTAAAAGATTCTATGTTGAATGAATTCTAAGACTACAACTGCATCAAGTTCACATACTCCTAGTGAACAAATGCAGATTGAAAACTTGAAGACCTACTTACTCCACAGTGAAATTGTTTTACTGCGTTGCTGTTCAGAGTTTTGTCCTTCTGCATCTAATAAACAAAAGCCTGAAGCATAATTAAATTTTTCTGTCTTACCTTCTCAATGTTTTTCAACAATCTGGAAGCAAGACACCACCTAAGAATCACTATAGTTTCAGTCCATGGGGACAGCTGATCCTAACAATAGCAGAAAACTTCATACTTATCCTCAAATTATCCCCTAACTTGTAAGATTTAAATTAGACGATTGTTTCCTACACTGAAGAACGCATTCTCCTCACTCTGAATGATCCTTTTTTTTTTTTTTTCCCAATACCAGCTCACCTTGTAGTCAACACATGCAGGGCAAAAATTTTCATATGCAAACCGTTTTCCCTATTTTTCACATTGCCAATCAAAAATTAAAGCTGATGCAGAATTCTGACACCAATGTTTGGAGGGACTATTTTCCTCAGTGTGTTTCTCCTACGACATCTTTCATGGCTGAGGGACAACTATAAAAAGACTTTTCTTGAATTGCCCCTCCTCTATTTGTTCAGTAGATTTGGAGCAGACTTCAGATCCGTGATGCTGAGTGGGAAGGTCAGCCTTTGTAAAAATGAGGTCAGAGTTTCAGATGGGCCTAGCTCAGCCTTGTCTCTGCAGCAAAGTAGTGCAAAAAGGATTGCCGGATTTTTTGCTTAGCTCAACTTTGAAAAAACATCTATATTTTGTTTTGTTGTGGTTTTGACTGGGACAGTTAGTTTTTTCTTAGCTGCTATAAGAGCTCGGTGTTTTGGTTTTAGTATGGGATTTGTCATGACAAGAATGGCTATAGTGCACTGATGTTTAGAGTTGGTACTGAGACAGCAAGGACCTTTCAGCTTCCTGTGTTTTTGCCAGTGTGCAGGAGCACAACAGGCTGGCAGGGAACACAGCCAGGATAAGGGGTCCACAACTCCCCTTATCATTTGAACTTAGACACAGGACAGAAGGCCAAACTGGCCAATGAAGTATTCCATATTGTCCCCCACCCTGCCCAGTATATAGATGAGGGTTGACCAGAAAGAAGGGCTTTTCCTTTTCTGAGGGCTCTCTTGGAATGCTGTCTCTCTCTTGTTCTCTTTTTGGGCCTCTTGCTCGTCTCGGATCATGGTGTTGGGACTTACCTGTTTTAGGATCGTTTGCTGGGATGGGACAGGCATTGTTACTGGGTGCATCACTTGTTTGTATATATTATTATCATTATACACATAAATATTAATATATTATTATTAAAGAATTCTTATCCCAACCCACAGTTTCCTTCCCTTTTCCCCTTTAATTCTCTTCCCCATCCTGTGGGGGTGGGGGAGGGTGAGCCAGAGGCTGTGTTAGTTGCCTGCCAGCCTAAACCAAAATTAATGTACACAGCTGTGACCCCTTTTATAGTGTATTTTTTTTTTTGTACATGCTAAGAACAAGAAATAACTGCCTAAGAGTTTGAACAATCTGTAATGTTTCCAAAGTACCTTTTCATGCTCTTCTGCAGTAAGATAAAACAGAAAATATGGCCAAAAAAAAAGCTGTTAATGTGATCTTCACCAACTGGTCCCCATTCCATGCAGCAACTAGGCTGAGCAGTTTCAGAGTTCAAGCTATGTATCAAAGTGGCACAAGTATGAATAAACCACAGCTTACCTCTGGATCAAGGATATCTGCTGGCCCAAACCATTTTTCATCACTGGGATCTTTCACCCTCAATTTCCATTTAAGATCAGAAGAAAGTAGTACAAAAAGATCATCATCATAACTAGTGACCAACTGTGCACTTCAACTTAAGGCTGGGCTGACTTCCCTGACCAATATTCTTCCTCAAAACTGACATTTCAAGTATCATTAAGTAATTAAACTCTTCTGGTGGGCACTTAAATCACAACTATACTTTATATTATCCATATATTGTAACATTTTACGCAATTTACATTCTCCAAAATTGTTTGGATTTCAAAATAATTTAAAGTTTTTATATCACTTCTAATTTCACAAGGCAGCTACTTTCCAAAGTATTGCACCTCAAATGTTCAATGTGGTGAAGCACTTAGACATGCTTAAGAGATGCTAGCAATAGCACATGGCATCTATATCACCTTTCAGAACAGCTGACAGAAGCTACATGTCCATCCTCTGATTACTTTCTTTAGGTTTATCTTCTTATGTCTGCAACTTGTAAACAATGGTATTTATTACAGGACATTCCCACCAAGGTGCTCCACCACCACTATGGGCACATTTTGTTTCTTAAATTTTATTTTCTCTAAAGATACACATTTTATTTCCTCTAAGATAAAAAATTTATTATATAAGATAAAAATTTTCCCTACCTCAGATACAAACTGAGACTGATCAAAAACTCTTACATATATACACTGACACAACCCCAAACTGACAAAATAAGGAGTCTGTCGGCATAGAGAAGGTACAGATAGGCTAGCAGGCTTGCACGTTTGCTGTCCTTCAATATCCTCTAACTTCAAAGCAGGACCTATCATGAACTAGTCTCTGTAGCATCAGAAACATTATCATGGTACATTTAATCAACTTTACACAATTTCTAAACAGAGCAATTTCACTTCAGGGGTTTCAGACCTTTGCAGTCCATGCTATCTCCTGCTGTATGATCCCAGAAGAACAAAATACCACACAGAAGAGCCAACTAATTGGGAACTTTGTCATCATGGCCTTCCTTAATTAGTTTCAATCAAGCTGACTGGAGTGACATCGATGCCAGCCTGCCCACCTAAGCGGGTTCATTTAGAAGAAAAAAAAACACAAAACCACACAACTGAAAAACAGATTAAGTTCTTCAAACAACAGTTAAAATTAAACAGCAACTCCCTGCAAGCCCCAACCTTCCGGCTCATGGAATCTCTTTTGAAACAAAGTTATCCTTCTAGCAACTTCTTTTGGTATGTTGTATCACTAACAAATCAATGCTAGTCAATAAAACTATTAAAGTATGCCAAGCCAATTCAAGTGGTTCAGGGCTAAGGCAATTTGCTGTTGTCATCTGCTATAGCAACTAGCCAAATACATAGAAGCATTAGCCAATGCTTCATGTGCTCCAGTGTGTATTTTGCTTAAAGGGATTCAGAAAAGCTTTCTTACCTGACCCTCAGATATTTTTAAACTATTTCATTTTGATACCATCCTCCTAGGGGTCCAAAGAAATAAATAATTAAACCCCCAATAAACTTAGATCTGGATTTACTGATGTTCTTCCAAATCCACTATCACCGTGTCAGCAGTTGCACTCTTTTCCAGTTCCAATGCGTAAGGGTTATACTCTTCTTCAAGTTTTCTCTTCCAGATTTTAACTAGGGAATATTAGAATAAAAAAAAAAAAAACAACAAACAAACAACAAATAAGTTACTGTATAATACTTGAGGGAAAACTTAAAATGAAAAATCACACTGATTCTCTACTTCCTCCTCAAAGTAAGTGCTGAGACGAGTTGGCACATTGGCACGTACACCACGCAGCATCAAACGACACATGAAAGAATACTTTAGGAGTGGCGGGATCCATTGAGGTCCTTGTGTCCAGCCCCCTGCTCAAGTAAGGCTAACTCTGAAGGTGGGTCCAACTGTAAAAAAAACTCAGAAGTTTTCAAAACTTTCGAAGAAGTTTTAAGTTGCCTAGTATCTGTGATAACTTGTTGTCTGGTCACTGTATGAGCAGAGCTGGAGGAATGTGTTTCTAGAAAAGTGGAAGGCCTTTACAAAACGAACACCTTAGGACAGGAAGATCCACCTCAAACAGGCTTCAATACAAAACTTAAGTCCACCATAGTTAAAGAGTATGCAATTCTAACTTAGAGGATATTTAACAAATAGAAATAATAAGGAGCTCTGTTAAACCTTCTTGGATAAAGCAATGAGTACCACCTGTCATCAGTGGATTTCAGAGAGGAATTTTCTCTAAGACTTTCTCAGCAAGAGCTGACTGCAGGTTTATAAAATTAGGAGGGCGGGGGGAAATAACAGAAAAGCAGAATTTCCCCCTTTACTAACCACTAAATTGTCAGGTGTCATTATTTCAGTGAAAACGGTAGAACTGAAGAGCACTTTGAATGAAAACTGAACCAAAACTAAGCCAGTGAATACTCACTATAATTTGGTACATCCTCATCTGAGTCCTTGGAAGATGTTTTACCAGTTTCTGATACGCCATTTTTTTCATATGCAGTGGTTAGGATGCTGGGTTTGGTTTCTCTTAGTCCTCCTTGAGCTTCTTCCTCTAAAGCTGCTATCATATCTTTGTAGGCCTTTCTGGCCTCTGTTGTCAGTTGTACCATTCTATGAAAATGGTCCTATGGAAATATAAAATATTAGTACAGCTTAAATCACACAGGAAATTTTAACATCTCCATGAAAATCTGTAATGAATATTCCTTATTCAGAACATGTATGTTCATATATAAAAGTTTAGCAGCTAAGTACCTACACAGACAGAAAAAACAAACCCTTTATAAGCATTTAAAAAAACATGAATTCTCTTGAAAAAAAAATTTTCGAAAGAGATCTAGATGGAGAAGACGTCAGGAAGAGATGGCTTAACTACTTTTTTGAACAGTGCAGAGTGGCTGTACTTCTAAAACCAATTTGCCATATAAGCCACTGACAATAAAGAGTGATAAAGAGTGTAAGTGTGCAAAAGCAAAACAAACAAAACCTTAAAGCCACAGTATTTTTTTTGTCCCCTTGCAGGTGAAAAGTAAAGCTAAACCAAAAGCACGAACCCACGTGTTCCATCTTACCTGAGCCCCATCATAGCTGAAAATCCCCACCACGCTCACAGGCACTGCCTTGTTCAGGCAGCGGCCCAGGGCCTTGCGATTCAGGGCAAACACAAAGGGGATGTTCTGCTCACAGGCGCAGTCGATAATGTTGTGCAGAGTTTCATCCAGCCCACCTGGAGCAGACAAGAGAATCAGCACAGAATGACACTATTCAAGCGGATTGTAACTAAAGGTCAGTACTGTTAAATAAGACAAAGAATACCCCAAGGTGATGGCTGTGTTTTGAAATTACAGGAGTTCACAGGAGAAAATACATGGATCTCAATAATAGCGTTATATCTCCGTTTTTAAGGGAGAACTGGACATTTTTTTCCTAATTCTGAATTAGCAGTATCCTTACATTGCTACTGTTCCATATTTTGTTATATGTGTAGTATAGTCTGATCTAGTATTAAAAAAAGAAAGACCCAGCTGCTAAGAAATTATTTAGGAGTTGACAGAAAGTAATGACAGTAATTACAACAATTTTTAAACAACCTATCACTGACAACTTATTGTCAGTCTGTCGCCTAAAAGAGACTGATACAGAAGGACTTCTTGTGGTGGCACACCTGGCTTCTGCAACCTTCGTCTCTTCTCAGCTGTGCCAGTGCAATCTTTTGTGCGGCTGCACTGCAAATCAGTAACTTCACAGATCCCACTTTCAGATAACTTTCCCCAGCCCAGATGGTCTTGACTCAGTTCATGCTTCAGCTGCCCAGCAGGAAACAATCTGAACAAGGCAGGAGTCTTTATATGACTGGATTTCAAAGGTTACCCAAATAAGTTCCTCCAATAACAGTGCTGCTGCAGTATACTGAGTCTGCTTTTTCACATTTTTTTTATTAAAGAAAAAATTTTTTTTAAGCTTATTTACCCTTTGACTGAATCTTTTCACAGTTAGGAGAGATGATGACACACTTCAGTTTTTTCAGCTTCAGATGTTTCAAAACTTCTCTAAGACCCATAACAAGCCTGCGTTTTATCTTGGCCTTTACTGGGTCTTTCTGATACAAGCGATCTTGGAAACGAACCAGTTCTTTTAAGAGATCTGTCACACAACTGTCAACTTCTTTACTAAGTACCTGGCTGCAATAACTGGAAGAAATAATCAAATTTTAAAAACACTAAAATTACAAACACGTAACACACAAATATGTAATATGTAAAATATAAACAGTTTACCTTATATTCTAAGTCATTGTCTTTTTTCCTATTTCCACTTCAAACACACTTGTTATATACATGAAAACAAAAATTTACTTAGGATTTTTTCAGAGTGTCTGAGAACTTACAGGTTTTGTTACTTGTGGTATCTGGCTCCTCTATGAAACAATACTAAAAATACATACACAAACGTATGATAAAACTATGTATGTAATTTTTATACCAATAAACACATATGAGCATATGTTTTTCTATTAAAACATTGCTCTGAGGGCATTTATTTTGACCTATATAAATTGAAGTGCAATGATGAAAGTATAAAATTCTGATTTATTTCTACAAATACAAGGCTACTTATAACAAAGATGGAGATCTGGATCAAATTTCTCCTCCCCAGGTTCATATTTTTTGACTGTCATACTATTTCACTTACCAGACAACAGCCTTGTGGTGTTTATAAGAAAAGGATAAAAATAGGTGCACTTCTAGTATTTCCTGGGAAAGATCAAGGTTCCAAATTATTTACTTCCCATCTTTTACACAAAGAATTGTTCAGTAAAGAAGGGTCTCAAAGAGAAAAACTAAAGATATCTCAAGCGCACAGTCAACAGAAAGATGCCAAGTGGCAAATTCACATAAGATTATGAGAAGAGATCACAAGATCTATCCTGGATCTTAGAGGCACAATTATCTCAAAATTTTATTTAAGCTACAGGAGTTTTTATTCAGTATTTCCATTTCATTTCTCTAAGTCTCAAAGACAAGCCTACTCAAACACTGAAAACCTAATCCAAAGACACAAGATATTTTAAGCTTTGCTGAATGGTCTGCATCCTAGAATAGGTCAGACTGAGTTGCCCTGTACATATTCAGTCCAAACTGCTTTCATAAAACAGTGTTGCATAGACACAAATTAAGTTAATTTTTAATGCAATTAAAAGTTAAATTAGAGCTAACACATAGCATCAGGAAGATAAAGAATGGCTGTATCAATATTAACATTTACTACAACGTGAACTGCAAAAAGGCCAGTGGCACCTTTATGGGAGGAAAACTAAAAGTTAAAACGCTGCTTACCTAAAGTAACTGTTTTAAACTGCCATGACTGGATCTCTGATGTCTTCACTTACAGTAAAGACTATTTCTTCTTTTATAAGGAACCATGTATACACATCCATTTAAGCAAAACTAAAAGTGTTTGCACATAATAACCCATAAATCTTCCCTTTATTTCTATGCCTAGTCACCACATGAAAATGTTGTCTGGCTAGTCACATTCTTTACATTTTCCCATTTGATCTGGCAGCAGAAAACACACTAAAGCTAAGTAAGGTGTACTGCTCTTTTTCTTAAATATTAAGCTGGTACTCCATTTGTTTAAAATAAGGTAATTATACTTTAAGAGCAGCTCCTTTTCATTCCTCAGCCTCAAATGATTTCCTGATCTTTTTCTCCTTCAAGGAACATGCATTTTGAAGTGAGAATTACTACAATATACAGACTATTTATCTGGATATCTTTGTTTGTATGTCAGCTTACAGAAAAACTGAAAAAAATATCAGAACCTTCAGTCTAAACTCCCATTAGTGTTGCACAGAATGCAACTGAAGTATCTCATTTGAAAAATTGGTCATATGGTGAAAACCAGACATCGATACAATCAATACTTACTCTCTAAAATTCCTACTATGGATTTTTGGAAGATTGGAGGTTAGCTGCTTTGAAGTCATAGAACCTTCTGTAGAGTCCTTGATCCCTGTGTTCTCCAGAAACCCTTCAGCAACTTGCGTTAGAGGAACAGCTATCGTAAATAAAGATACTTCAATGAACAGACAGACCAAAAAGCATTGTGAAGGGACTAACTTGTTAAATATGTCTTGAAGACTCATTACTTCATTATTACAACAGTCTGAGGTAGTAGGGGAACAGGTCCTACATTTTTTTATTTTTAGATTTTATTATTCTACCTTTTTTTAAACAGATTGCCAGAGAGATGCAGGGACTCTCATTATGACACACAAGAAATCCAACAGGCATAGAAGTGTGGAACACTCATCAGAAGCCCAATTACTCAACTACATTGACTATTAGCTTTGGCACACTTGAAACTCTAGAGAAGCCCAAGCTGAATCTTGGAAAATTCTGAACTTGGCAGTATTTGGTACATGTTTTTGAGAGTAGTGTGCTCGCTCTTACATCTCCATCTACATACTGTATTATGCCCTTCTCTTGAACGATACCTGCTTTACTATCCTGTAGAAGCGTTTCCTCTTCAGTAATATTTTCTGCAGACTGACAAGTATTATTTTCATCTTTTGGTACTGCTGTCTGTTCTAACAGGTGTTGCTGTTTTCGTTGTTCTCTTTCTTTCAGAATAATCTAAAAAAAAAATAAATATATAAACGCAAATCAATTCAACATCACATAGCTAAAAAAACAGTTCCTCTTACAAAGTGCGTACATGTAGACCATTCATAAACAAGTTCAGCACTATCAAAGTTTACAACATTTGTTTTTTTTTTCAATTTGCACATAAAAAGAAGGAAAGATAGTCCCTAAATCTACGTAGAAAAGGAATTTTTCCTTGATTACCAGCGGAGAAAATAATTACTAGAGACCAACTACAAGGGCAGAACTGAAGTTAAAGTGACAAATTGCTTCAATGCAGAGAAGCAGCTGAAAAAGTCTCACTCTTTACCTTTCTTCTTCAGACTGTTGATTTGTAGCAAACTCAGCCAAACATTCAAGAACATACCTATATATCTATATCTATACATATTTATGTGCAGTTACACTTCCCTCGTGTTCCCGTTAAAAATCTCGAGTCAGTCTAATAGATCGCTGTCTATGAATTTGCTGGTTGAAGAAAGGAGAAGAAATTACCATGGATAGCTAAGCCATATGGTACATGGAAGGAAGGAAAGTAGGACATACCCTGGATCCAAACATGCTACCTAGGTGAAGGCAATAATCAGTTTCCTGAAACTTGTCTTCCTTCCCTGCTGTCATAGCTGCTAAGAAGCAGTTATGGTATATATGACCACTAGCTCAGTTAATCTACCCAAAATTTGTAATTAATTACATCACAGAATGTAATTGCAAAAGTAAATTTCTCCATGTGCATTTGTCAAAGAGGAACACAGAACAAAAATAAGCTCCCTACCATACCGAGAACACAGATATTACACAGACAGCATTTTTGTCTTCTTAAACCTACTCTGGAAAATTGATGGCATGAAGATAGAACAGCCAGAAGACCCAGTAATTAGCATCAGCCCTCAGAGTTTGTTTTATGTTACACGTTGTTTATATTGTACAGTTCTCTAATTCAATGAAGCAGCACAGAATGACCACTAAACTACCTTCGCTAGCTCTGTAAAAATTGTTTTAGACCGAAAAGTGACCTAGCAATGGAGTGGTATCTCAAAATACGCTGTACAGAATACATGACAAGAAGCAACATGAATGGGAAATGAGGGAAGATACGAGAGAAATTGTCAGGTGGAGCTAATGCAGGCTACTGCAGAATCAGCTGAAGCTCAGGCTTGGAAGAGCACAGAAACATCAAATACTACCTTTGTTTGAACCATTCTCTCCAGTCCTGCAAGTAAGCATCTCTTGTCCAAACCAAGTAAGATTTCTTTATATGTCCCCCTGTACCAATGACATGTGGACACTTTTTCAGTGGCACTTCTTCAGCTATCAAGTGATTTAAGTAAGAAAATATATTTGGGGGGAATTTGTATATGCTGCTTAGCAAGACTCTCCTCTTCTCTGCCCCTTCTCCACTTTTTTAAACCAAGGAAAGCTAAAATTCAATTTAGACAAGTGGATGCTGAGATGCAGATCTGCATACCAGAGGGTTTAACAGACTCAGAGTAATATTGAAGTTACATTAGCCTATATTGCACCATTTAAAGTAAAAATATAAGCACCTTTTTAAGAGGTGTTGGTCTCTTTGCTTTAGGGACTTCTCTCTGTTTCCCTTTCTTTACCAAAGGAGCACTGGAATCCAAAGGGTTATGAGGCATTTTTCCTTGGTTTAACCGGTGACTCTTTGTGGCTGTAGCAGGTTCTTTAGAAAGCAATGGTATGGCACCGCCAACTGCGATTAAAAATAAAAAAAAAATCTGCATCAGACAACTGTAACAAGTACCTAAACTAGAATCAATGTAAGTTTAATGACCGGATTAAGACTTGTATCCACATATTAGGTTTGTGTTGTGTTGCTGTTAAGAACAATGACACAGGATTGCCTGTAAATAAACAATGTTATTTCATAAAGATACTCCTCCCAAAAGACCGACATGTCCTCCACTTGTATTATACAACTAGAATCACAAGTTCTGTCCCTCAACTTTCAAAAGCAGCATCTGGCAAAACACTGCACTCGAAGCTACCTCCAACACCACACCATGTCGGCTTGGCAAACCTTCAGGAATCTCCATGTTTTATGGTAACAGCATTTCCTCCTCCACAGATTCTGTACTGCGTTAAGATAAATACTGAGTTGCAGTATTACAGATTTTAGATTTAATTGCTGTAAATAATCTGCAGCACTTACTCCTACCAGTTGTTGCACCTTAATGAAGTTGGATAAAGTTCATTTGCAGATGGGTAATGAGTAATGCAAAGCTACAGCTAATTCTTTTCTGCTTAACCAGCACAGCTCTCAGGAGATGTCCACTTTACTGGCATTTTTCAGGTAGTTTAGAGCACAGAAGCTTTAAACGATTGGCCAAGTCACTGAACTCGGACCTTCCAAACCATGACCTCACACCCTAAGAACTACTCGCTCTCTTCAATTTGTTATCAGTAGGAACTGCTGTATCCTGTGAGAGCACTTTGTCAAACTTCAGTTACCTGCAATATAAACCAGGTTACATTAGCAAGTCAATGACGAGGATGACATAAGTATCAGTGGAATGAGCTTGACACCTTTGTGCCTCAGGCAATCTCTCTCCTGAAAAACACTCAAACCTCCTGGCGGCTTGTCTTAAACCAGCTTTGTTTTATAAAGTATTTATATGCTAAGCCTCCAAAACCACATACAGTACTATTAGCATAAACAGTTTACTTCATAAAACTGCTCCGAAGCAACTTTTTTGTCTCTGTGCAACAAAAGGCAAATTGAGAACACTGCCAAGAACGTTGTGCAGTGAGTTCGCATAGGTGGCTACAAGAATTGAAGCAGTACATAAGTATACATCCCACAGACACATCACCTCTTCACTTCAAATTCACAGAGTTATCATGTTCCTGAACTTGATGGCTTTAACAATTTGTGTGATTTTTCATGACTGATGCATTTCCAAAACGTAATTTAAATTTGAATAATTACTGCTTTACTAGCTGTTCCATCCCTATGTTATTTACCAAATGAAGTAGTAAGTAAGGAATAAAGTAACTTTGTCTGCAGTCACATTCCTTGCCCTTCTTATTCACCTGCCTTCTCTTCTGGTTAAAGAGGTCAGCACAATGCCACTTCAGAGACTCAGGTTACGTTTTGGTACACACCAACTTAATGGGTGCACTGAATGTTTAAAAAAGGAGTATAAAGCTGAGGTAACATCTGACTCATACTTCCAGGATACGAACGTGACACACCAACTTCTCTTCTGCAGCTGAATCAGACACAGGCAATTTAGTATTAGAAAACAGGTATTGTGACCCAGACCTTTGTACTTCACCATCTACTCACCAATCCACGCACTGTATAATTTTACAGAAACAAAACTGGTTATTAGCACCTCTGCAGCATTGAGTTTGACTGACTCAAATGCAAAAAAGAGATCCGTTGCAAAAAATTAATTTAAAAAAAGCATCTTACAAGTTCTCTCAGTTAGTGAAGGAAAAATCTCATTGATGCTTGGTATTCTGAACTTATTTAAAAGCTCAACTGTCATATTAAACATTGTAAGATTAATTCTCTCTTGATTAGCACTTTCTGAAATAATAAAAAAAAATCTTTACTGAAATAAGGAGAGAAATTTTATCACCATTAAATTCTAACAAACATCATGCTTCTTTATGCAAAATGTAATGCAGTAACGTAACCAAGGATAAATTTTGACTTGCAATAAAAAAATACACTGAGCTATTTGTTTCTGCTTCCTAGCTATGCATCCACAAGGTCTGAAAGATTCTCCCAATCACCAAAACCTAGCATTTTGTTAACAGCAATAATTTCACAATTATGGCACAGCACAACTCATCCTTTGGCTTGGGCTGTTTGACTCTCATATAAACCCAGTGTTCGCAAAGAAGCTTCTTCACTGAAGTTGCAGCTCTAGGATTTCCACCATCACAGCAGCTTAGGAAAGCCTTGTTACTGCATAGCCCCTTCCTGCAGGTTCATATCACAACAGAAACACACGTATTTAAGACAATGTGAAAACCTCCACAAACATTTGAAATTTTTCTTTGACAAATATGCTATCACCTCTCATTTATATAAGGTATTGTCCTGGTTTTGACTGGGACAGAGTTAGTTCTTTCCTTTTTAGCTGCTAGAAGAGCTCTGTGTTTTGGATTTAGGCTGGGATTCACTATGAGAAGAATGTTGATAGCACACTGATGTTTATAGTTGGCGCTGAGACATTAAGGACCTTTCAGCTTCCAATGTTTTGCAGCAGCAATGTGTGCAAGAGCACAACGGGCTGGAGGGGAGCATGGCCAGGACAACGGGCCCACAATTGCTCTTATGATTTGAATTTAGACCCAGGATCGAGTGCTAAATTGGCCAATGAAGTATTGCACACCGTGCAACGTCATGCGCAGTATACAGATGAGGGTAGACTGGAAAGAAGGGCTTTTGCCCTTCCAAGGGCTCTTACTCTCTTGCACTCTCAGAGCGTGCTTTCTCTCCCATTCTCTTTTTGGGGTTCTCACTCATCAGGGATTGCGGTGTCAGGACTTCTCTGTTTCGAGATAATTTCCGGAGACGGGACTGGCCTTGGTCACCGAGTGGTGAGCAGTTACACCGTGCATCACTTGCTTGTGTATATGATTTTATATAAATATATATTATTCTATCATTATTACTTTTTATGTTATTAAATTGTTGTTATCTTAACCCATGGGTCTCCTTCCCTTTTCCCCTTTAATTCTCTTCCCCATACCCTGGGAATGGGGGAGGGTGAGCAAGTGGCTGTGTGGAGTTTAGTTGCCAGCTGAGCTAAACCACAAGAGGTATTATTTTACAAATCATTGTCCTGAAGACTTTTCTTCCTCTGAGTCTTCCTCCAAAAAATTCAGATTGCCATGCTCTTTAAAATTTTTTTAGAAGAACCTTCATTTTCTGTTGTATCTTGTGAACTGTGCTGCTGCCTGCATATTGAGATGATATCATTACAGATCAGAAATCAGGCTACATTTAATGTCTGAATACTTAAAATCAACTCAGGTTGAAAGAAAAGAAATTTCACTGTGACCAATACCTGAAAGCACTACAGGTTTAGAAGACTGTTTCGACTTCTCTGTTTGCTGCTTCTGCTCCAAGACTGCCAGCATGCCACCCAAATCCAACTGCACAGGGAGTTGACTCTTCTTACCACCGCTTCTGGATGTTTCCTGAACAAGTTCAGTATTAATTAGTAATGCTCTCCATTTCAAAATGCAAAGACTGTATTTTGTAAAATGTGCGCACTCTTAACATCTTCACCCATGATACTTTTGATTTTTAACTTGATTCAATGAAAGTATTTGATCTTTAAATACACATCAACTTTAATGCGAAAAATAAAAATTCTGAAACAGTTCAAGTAACTTTTGAATAGCTACCAGAATAAAGCATAAAAGTACAAAGTCTTTAATAAAAGGAGGTGCTTTATGTCAGGCTCCCACTTCGGTCAGACTGCCACCTATCTTTGAAAAAGAAAAAAGGCTTACTAGAACTGAAAGTTTTGTTAAAAGTACAGAAAAACTACTCTGTGAATCTCGCAGGCTATGTGATTGCAATACACATACATCATTATCTCCATTAAAAAGAGACCATCTGCCTTGAAGAGAAGGCAAAAATGGTGTCCCACACTTGGCATCCCATTCAATGCTTCAGAACACAAAAAGATTACAAATGCATAGTCTAGCAAAGGCTACAAAAGGGCCAACCGCGATAGCACAACATGTTACAGAAATGACTCACAGATTTTGTACTTAGTCTTATCCTGGAGGATCAATTCATTATAGCTGTTACAATAGGGTTGAGGAATACAACCTTCTCCTTCCAAGCCTAGGATCACATCTTGCATCAGAGCGATGCCAGAACCCACTTAGCAACATGGAATGACTTACTGACCTCACTGTTGCGCCATTTTCTCCTCCTTGCCCCAAGCTAAGCAGATCTCCTTGCCTCTTTGTCTTAATCTGGCAGAAACACTTTTAAGAGGTTACCAACTTCTTAAAGACAACCAGGTTGGACTGGATTTATGACACAATCAAATAAGACAGGGGAAAGAAAAACTCCTGATACCTGAAACTCACACAAAGTAATGAAAAACTAGTATTTTTCCCTAAACACTGTATGCCAAACTGGGGGGTAGCAATTACTACCACTGAGTGCCTCTAATCAAGAGGACCTTATCACTTATCTCAAAGTTTGAATGACAAAGTATGAAGACAATCGCAGATGAGCTTGTACTTAGTCTTATATTTAAATATGCTAATTTCCTTTGTCATTTTGAGTTGTAAACTTCTTTTCAAACACGAATTCATTTACCTGCATTTTCTTTCTTTCTAATAAGGAAGATGAAGCTTGCTTCCCTGACAGTCCATCCACCTTTGAAGTTCCATCCACTGTGTCTTCAGGGAGATAGATCTTTGAAATTTAAAGACAAAAGGCAACAAGGAGGAAGAGAAAATACTTAAAGACACACGGAGAAGAGTAAAGTGACTATGATATTAAATTCAAATGGAACAAAGAGTGGGATTGAGTGCACCCTCGGCAAGTTTGTGAATGACACCAAGCTAAGTAGTACAGCTGATACGCTCCAGGGAAGGGATGCCATCCAGAGGGACCCTGAGAGGCTTGAGGAGCCGGCCTGCGTGAACCTCATGAAGTTTAACAAGTGCAAGGTTTTGGACCTGGGTCGGGGCAATCCCCAATATCGTTACAGGCTCGGGGACGAAGGGATTGAGAGCAGCCTGACAGAGAAGGACTTGGGGATGGACAAAATACTGGACATGCGCAGCCAATTCTATCCTGGGCTGCGTAAAAAGAAGTGTGGCCAGTAGATTGAGGGAGGTGATTCTGTTACCCAGCAATAAAGGGGTTAAAATTTTTGTGTAAGAGTTTCATGAAGGGTTTAGTAGGCAGTAGGTGATTTACGCATACCTAAAGAAACTAACTAGATGTCCACCCTTGAAGCTGCCAGGAGTGATTAGGAGGGAGACTCTTTATCAAGAACTGTCTGCCCTTGGAGGGAACATCCCAGAAACTGCATAAACTTTGTTCTCATGTTTTTCTGAGCTGTGAACATGCAGTGACTTGGGGAAAAAGGTAATTCCTGCAGGGGGAGATCGCGACCACCGACTCACGGACCACCTACCCTAAATACACCACAGACCCAAAAGAAAGGGGTGGAGGAAGAGAACTGAGCATGTAAAGTAATTTACATGTGAAGCGAGAGAAAATTAACCAACTGTTTAAGAAGATGTAAATATGTTATGAACTGTGCATGATTGTAGTGTATAACTAATTTTCTGTCCAGAAGCCAGGTGTGCACGCTAGGAGGAGAAATCCCCCGTGCACCCAGCGCTGCAATAAAGAATACCTGCTTTCTAAAACCCTAAAACGAGTCTTGGAAAGTTCAGTTTCCTTTTCAGGTATCAATTCTCTCCCTCTACTCCTCTGTCACCACACCTAGAGTCCAGTGTGCAGTTCTGGGGACCCCAGCACACGACAGACATGGATCTGTTCAGGCAGGTCCAGAGGAGGCCCACAAAAATGGTCAGAGGGCTGGAACACCTCTGCTGTGATAAAAAGCGAAGTGAGTAGGGTTGTTCAGCCTAGAGAAGAGAAGGCTCTGGGAAGACCTTATTGCGGCCTTCTAAAAGTGTAATTATCTATTGGCTGCCATACTTATGATTTCCTTCTTTTTTTCAGATTTGGAATAAAAAAATCAACAAGGCAGCTTCATCTTCAAATATTTGTTACAGAGGAGTATGAGTGGCTTAATGATTGCTACAACTTACGTGAGCTTTGAGAGGTTATACCCCACTTTCGCCTGCAAAGCTAAAAGGTTTATCTCATTTAAGGTGCAAGTCCGTATAGCACTTTCTTTGTAACAAATCCTGTTGGAGCAATTACTGTGCCTTTTGCTGCTCATTCCTCCCTGTCAATGCAATTTACTGCCTCAAACAAAGCAAACAAGGGTTCTGGTTTTCTGTGGTTTAGTTTTTGTTTGGGTTTTTTTAAAGCACCAATATCCACAGTGAAACAAAACCAAGGATAAAAAATCCTAGCAGCAAAATTAGTTTCAAAGAAACAGAAACCTGGAATTTCACCTTTCTTATTTACGTTATTTGCTTTGCAAGAGCAATCGTATCTCCAACACTTGTGACTTGTGTTTGGGAGTTATTCCCACACTGGATGAATTTCCAAATTAATCCTTGGAATTTGTTTCGCTCATGTGAGAAAAAAAAAAAAGGCAAAAAAAGCTTGGATTTACAACTGATGTTACACTCGAATTCTTACCCTTGCACAGCTTGAGAACAAAGAGTTACACTGTTCAGATGTCCTTGAAATTTGATTAGATGAACAAACAGCAAAGGCTGAACGCATTATTTTTATGAAATGCGAAATTAAACTAGAACACTACCTGTAGGAAAATAAACTATCATAAACACAATTCATCTCAACTGACTTTCAGCATCCACAACAGGTTCTATATTGGAATTAGTAGTCCAGAGTTGAGGCAGCAGTTCAGAGGCCAAAAAAGCATCTCCTTTGGAATTATATGAATCTACTGAACACAGCGAGTAGCTCTTCACTGTCCACAGAGTGCCTAAGGGGATTGCCACTGGCACAGGCCCACCTTATAAGCATCTGTATTTAGTCAAAAGAATTCTACTTTTAGTCTCATGTAAAACTTGCAGTCTTTTCCTGCTTATTGTCTTAACGTTTACATAATGTCATAAGATTACTTACTGCGGGCTGCTTTCTGACAGCAGGAGCAAACGATGATTTCTGAGATCCTAGCCTGTTTCTCCTATCAGAAGCAGCTGTCAGATCAGGAAACTCCTCAGCATCCTAAACAAATAAATCAGAAGATGATTTTATAAGAACTATCAAGTCCATATTCTCAAAACTGATTTTTCTACATTCAAACTATGTTCTGCCTGCTTACACTAATCATAATTCGTTTCATTGTGCAAAAATTCAGAAGTCAAGTGCAGTGCCACCAACTATAATCGGCACTACAACGGTGAAGTCATCTACAGCAGCTAATTCAGGGCTGAAAGAGCTTACAAGAGAAAGGCTTCCAACAGTAGCTTGTTATTGCTGTCAGCAGATACAAATGATTAGGGGTAAATGGCTCCTAAAGGAGTGTTTTTCAGACCATTTAACAGCCTTGCAAACAACTTCTCTCTTCTTCCAGTGAAGTCTCCAGCTGTGCAATTCTGCCTTAAATGTGTGAGTGGTAAAGAACAGAAAGGGCAGGCAAAGGGTAGTAACTCTTGACTACAGTATGGAAATAAACAGATAAATCACTCAAGTGATTATGTAGGCTTAGACACTGGAGTAAATTTCATTAGCAATGGATACACTACCCAGATCCGGGATCGACTAAGCCCAGGCAGGCTGAAGCTTTCTCTACACTGGTCACCACATATCCACTATCTCAATGATAATGACCCTGATCCATCAGCTTGCTTTTCATTCAGTTGCTTCTCCTCCCACTTTCTGAGAGGCCATTCTAGCGGTGACACTACACTACCCAACACGCCAACACTTCTACAGCCTGAAAGACTTCACAGAAAAAGCCCAAGCTTAGAAAGCTCTAGCAGAAGGTAAGATGCACCTCACTCGATGACCTATTTTTAAAGAAGTTTCAAAGGATGCCAAAAGACAACGAACGGCAAGAAAGGGAAAAATGTTACACAAACACACTCTTCCAGCTTACGGACATCTTGAACCGGAGATAGCACCTTCACATTTAAACAGCCCTCACTAGAATAAATTTATATTTCAGTCTGTCCAATCAGTTCTTGAATTCAAATAAATTTCTGGCATTTGCAACATCTTGTAGCAAAACGAATAATTAAAATCTAGCACTCAGTGTGATGTCACACTTCTCTATATCTGCTCTTAACTTACCATCTATAAAAACCAGAGAACATCAAACAAAAATAGAAGAAAGATCAAATAATTCCCTTTTTATTTCCTTATCAATGCTGATTCCCACTTGGCCACCTATTTTACAGACCGAGAAGTCCTAGTCCATTCAGTCTTTCCTCCTGCAGAAATTGCTTCACACCTTTGATTATTTCTGGAGCCTTTTCGTCTGTCTTTTTTAGTTCAAGTATGCATATTTTTAAAGGAGTGGGGAAAACACAAGTAAAAAAAATTCATACTATATTTAGATCGGACACGTCCTGGATTTATGTATCGTCATAATCCATTTTCTTTTCTATTTTCCTAGTAATTCCCAGCAGTTTTTGCATGTTTGACCAGTACTACCAGCACTGACCTGATTACCAATAACAGCTTCAATTTTTTTTCCCCTCAGGTAAAATACTAAGCTGAGAGCCTATCACTGGGTATGGAAAACAGGATTACTTTTTCCCTAATGCATCCATTCATGCTCATTAACAGTGTCTATAAAAGAGTGACTTTTATAAAACTAGTAAGCAATCTGATACATTGCTCTTGTGAGCTGCTGCACAGAGCAGAACCTTCTTAAAACTTGAGTGCCCAGAAGTTCCATGTGTATGATCTTTTCGTGCTCTTCTATTCCAAGAGCATCATACAAGCATCTCACCTGTTTTTCAAACTGAAGAGCATGCAAGCACTCCCAGTAAACCATGAGGGTCTGAAAGCTGTCCCTCACTGCCAGAACAGGTGCTGCATCCACACCACAGATTTCAGTGCAATGCATGTGTCCTGTTTCAAGATTCTGTGCCTTCTTTTCCCATTTTTGTCTTCAATAGTCCCATTACCTTCTTACTATTTTCCATGACTCCTGCCATTCCCTTCTGTTTAGATGGTAAGTCATTCGCAGGTCAGACATCGTATGGCAGCAATAGTAAAAATGTTCTCATGAGGGAAAGAACCTGCAGATCTTTGCTTGCAACCATAATTCTCTAACAAAGAGGTCTGTAAACAGTCATTTCTTGTGCCATTCCAGGACAATGAACACATAATGAAAAGAATGTGTTGCCACAGTTCTGCTCCGTGTTCCATGTTAAAACGTACAGAGCAGAAGCCAGCCAGGAAGGCTTTCTTATGCTATCATTTCACAGACTGAACATCATGTATGTATGCTACATCAAATATATAAATCAACACATGTACATAGTGCTGTACAATACTGGGCTTTCAATGAAGCACTGTCAAACCACGGACCATACAACAATTCTCTAATGTGGGAGAGTCTAAAGCCTTCATGATACTGACACTAAAAAGTATCCTGATATTGATATGCATATTAGAGCTATATGAATTTAAAAAAAAACCCGGAATTAGCAATCAGGAATGTAAGCAGTGACAACTGTGTTACACAGAAATTGCTTTCAGACATGAGATGGGTAGAATTGTAATACCAGTACCGCACTCTTTAAAATAGTGGCATGCTAACATATCCTGCCTATTCCCTGTCCCTTGCGCACTTTGCGTTCTGCAACAGTTACTACAGAGTTTTTAATTTAGGAAATTTGACTTTTACTGTTACCTGTTAACATCCAGACTGTCAGATGCTTCGTTCCAAATTCACTCCTAAGTCTCTTCTGCACTCCTCTGTGCTCCATGAGTATGCGGTAAGTCAAAAGGCACAACAGTTTCCTACCAGTAACTTCTGGCAAATATCTCAACTGAAATGGACCTGGACCAACATCCTCTACAACTGGGATTTGAACTCAAATTTCTACAAAGCTGGACTAACATCTGGTCTTCCAATATGCTCATAACACTTAAAAAAACAACAACAAAATACTCTTCGCTGTACCTCAATCCTTGGTGGTTCCTGTATTGTAGTAGATTCATTTTGAGGTTTCTCTACCTCAGTGGCTGACTTGTTTTTTTTCTTCTTTTTCTTTTTTTTTTTCTTCTTTTCTGACCCTTCTTCAGGCTCAGTTTCACTAGCATCATTTTTTGTTTCTGACTGCTGAAAAAAATTATGAGGCATGACTATTAGAAATTGATTTATTTCAATACCACCTACCAAAATAAATGCAAATGACCACGCTTATACAACTAAAGAGTATCTTAATCAATCCAGGCTAGGACATTAAGTGGACAAGGAAATTCAAGATCTTGTAGAAATTCAGAGCTACTGCAAAAACTCTTCATTTGAAGCACACTGCACAGTTGTCAGAATGCATTGGGACTACTGAGATCTCAGGAATAAACATCCACCCAAACAACGCAAGAGTTCCATGTTTCATGTCTCATTCTGAGGGTCAGGAATCTGAAAAAAGTCCTGCCTAAAAGCAATGTATTCAAATCAGCTATTTCGGATGTTTGTGTTGCCAGAGTAGCACTGTCTTTTTGACATGTTGTTATTGTTTTCCACTACTAGAGAAGAAAAATTATAATAAGGACAAGGTAACTTTATATTACTTCTTAAAAGCTACATTAGAAGTATACATTGTACAGAGCCTAAGAAAAAAATGGCAATGTCTCACATCAAGAGAGACAATCAATCAGGGATAGAAATTAGTTTAGAGCAGACAATTTGCAAGTACCTTTGATTCACTATCCTGATTCCCTTTGCCTCTGGAAAGACCTTCAGATGCTGGTGATGACACAACTTTCCTTGGGGGCTGTGAAAGTACCATGGCCCAAGACACGTGTGGCTGAGCAGAGCCATCTGCAAGTGTTTCAGGAAATGTCATGGTGGGAAAAAAAAACTATATTAAAAAAATATTTTTCAAATATTCAAAAGAAAAAGGATCAGTAATGAATTAATCGAGGACTAGCAAATACAGCAGAAAGTCATATTCCTTCTCAGGAAGGACTGAAATAAGACACTCACACATTTAATTTCTCCAGAAAGCTTTCTAGAATTGTAACTATTCCGTATATTATCCAGCATTATATATATACACATTTAGCCCAATTAAATTATAATTGGAAATCTATATCGTGTCATACTAACTGTGTACAAATAATTCCATGCTCATTTGCTAAGTTATTTTTCTTTAAAATAATTAACGTCTGCTATATTTATATACAAAATTCCTTAAATATTTATCCCACTCAGTCATACAGCTTTCATATACAAGGCCCCATCAGTATATTCTATGTTCTAAAAATTTCCCAGTTTTACAGACATATGTACCAGCTGAAAGACTTTCCAATGTGCCTCAGTGAACAAGAATGTCACTCACTACTACACTCAGAAGTATTAATGTTTTGAAAGAACTCACACTTAATTAATTTTGTAAATATTCCTAAAATGCAGCAAATACAGAAGAAATTCTGTGTTTTCTTTAAGAATGAGAAAAACTTTCATTGAACAATTAAGTAGCACAATGGGTTTATATAGCAAGGTTTTGGTAGTGCAGGCAGGCTGCAGGAGTGGCCTCTGTGAAAAGACAGACACTGCCAGCCCCAGGCCAACCCCAAAACAGACCCAGCGCCAGACACAGCTGAGTCCCTCAGCGATGCTTGTGGCACATATGTGATAACGCATTTAAGAAAGGGTAAAAAACACTGTGCAGGAGTTGTGAGAGGGAGAAGAAGGAAAAAATGTGAGAGAAACAACTCTGCAGACACCAAAGTCAGTGAAGAAGGAGGGGGAGGAGGTGCTCCGGGTGCTGGAGCAGAGATTCCCTTGCAGCCGCTGGAGAAGACCATGGTGGAGCAGGCTGTCCCCTCGCAGCCCTGCGGAGGAAGGAGCGGCAGAGAGGGGCTGTTACGAACGGACCGCAACCTGCATCCCCCTGTGCCACTCGGGGCAGGGTGAAGGGAGAAGAGTCAGGAATAAAGAAGTAGTGTTAAGCCTGGGAAGAAGAGAGGGTGGGGGGAAAGCGTTTTTAGTTTTGTTTCTCACCATCCTACCCTATTTTCAATTGGCAACAAATTAATCTTCACCAACTCCAGTCTGCTTTGCCCATGATGGGTGACTGGTGAGTAATCTCCCTGTCCTTATCTTGACCCACAAGCTTTTTTATCTTACTTTCTCCTCCTGTCCTGCTGAGGAGGGAGAGCGAGTGAGCAGCTCTCACTCGGTAGGAGTTTGGCCACCAGCCAAGGTCAACCCACCACAAACTGCTATTTTTTTCTAGGGGATAGGAACCGAGGACAGTGTTTGAGGAAAAAACACTATCAGATGACTTTAAAGTTTCTGGAATGTTTATCTTTAGAAGACCCTTCAAGGCACTTCAGCAGATTATCCTGTCCTTTCTGACAGCGGGAAGATAAGAACCGAACTGTCCAGACTGGTCTGTGTCTGTGCATACAGCCAGTGAGTGGCACTTAGACAATTCAATGCATAATGCATGTGACGTCTTCAAGACTGAGTCCTGACGAACAGAACCTTTTTTCACAGAGTTCTGGATTTAAGTATTTCAATTAAATTTAAATACTTACTTGAAACTAGACACTTGATAGTTTGTGGCAATTTAAACAAAATAAATTCTGCATCCCCACAGCCAGACAAGAGGTAAACAAAAGAAAAAACAGGAGTATTTTGGAATCACAGTTCTCCACAGCTCCACAGCTATCCTTTTTTGTTTAACAAACTTGACAGAAATAACATATATGTTATTATATATATATGTTATATATAATATACTGTATAAAACAGAATAATTTTTAGGTACACACAAGACTCTAGACTGCCAGCTATTTAAAACAAATCTGCTTATCAAGACTGACCAAGTATTTACCTCTCATTTATTCTTGAAAAAAATCTGAAAAGGACTCAACATATTCCCAATAATCAATGTGCATTACTGCTTGCTGTTTAATTCCTTTTTCACTTCACACATCAGTGGCTCCTCACAACACTTTAGTTTTCCAAATTAAACTTACCTCTACCATCAAATGAAGAAGGAATTAAGTTGGCTACTGTTTCATCTACAGTTTTTGATGAAGCTTTGCTTTCCAGAAAAGTATCGTCCTGTAAAACAGACAGTCAGGTATCATAACAGCAGGACTAAAATCACCAACCTAAACAGAGCTAAACATAAAAAAAACCATAAATTCAAACAAATCCTAAATCTGTGCACACGTAAAGGTGCAGGGAATTTTGTAGCCTGACTTTTTTTTTGTTGCTTTTCTTAGTGGCACCATCATTTCAACTCTATACCATTACAAAATATAAGAAGATGCCTCTCCACTGCTGTACAAGCAAGATGATATCTTCTTACATTTTACAAAAGCATTCAAACAATGATTCAAAGAATGAATAAGAAAACATTTTAATGTCCCAATTACATTAAAGCCAAAGTCAATTAACAAACTCAAACTAGCAATGAAAAAGGAAACTGAAGTGACAGCAGAAAGGTCTTTCCACCACAGGCAGTTTTCCATTCACAGGCAGTGGAAATCTTATGCTGTTTGGATCCTTCAAAATTATTGATCTTTAATCACTGCTGAAAACTCTGATTTAATATCTGTGACATACTGCTGAAAGTGTCAGTATTCCATTTACTAACAGGGAACCAAGGAAAGCAAGAAGAAGGATAAAGTTAAACACTTATGTCTCAACATGTTTTTTCCTCCTTCTGGAACTCAGCTTCTCATTTTTATACTTTAGCACAAAGCAATTATATACAATATTCCAGACTTTTTTTTTTTAATCTGTTAAAAGTATTGGATAAGTGACTGCCTACCTGTTTCTTCAAGGTGAGAGTGAAAACAAGCAGCTGTTAAGCAACCTCAGGAACATATGTGCGTTGTATAGGCAAGCTAGAAGTCCAGATCATAGCAGTACCAATCTAAATTCTAACAGTACTTGGCTTTTCCCTATCTACTAGCAGCACAGACAAGGAAAGAATAGTGAGAAAGGGCAAAAGAGGAGACAGCAAGCACTGACACCACCATTCAGAAAAAGAACTGTAAAACTCCTTGCTCGCAAGGTACTTAAACAGGTCTTAAACTACCATACTGAATGCAAAATACTTGCATTCAGAAATGCTTGAACTTTAGACAAGTTTTATGAGTTCTGCAACATGAAAGCATCAGCTAACCTCTGTGTTCAACAAAAGAGACATCTGTGGTTGACTAAGGCACATAACATTACTTTCCGCTGAACGTATTGGTCCACTTCTATGCTCTACATCCAATATTTCACCGCTTCCCAAACTCTGTGACTTGTGGAAATCCAGAATGGTAGCTTCAAATGCGGGTACAGGAAGAGGATCTGTTTTTGGAGTTTGAGTTGACTTCTTGTTTGTAGTTTTATGGAACCTGTCTGAATAAAGCATGTAAAGTCTCAATAATTAGCTTGCTTGTTAATTGTTCTACTCATTTCTAGGAATGTTTTAGAGTACACTAGTTGACAAAACTACAGTAATCATCACAAGAACTATTGTTATGCATAGCTCGTATTAAAAAAACAGCCTAGCAATTATAATCAACATGTATTCACAACACATACTCAACAAGCAACTGTAAATTCAGATGCTTGCTTAGGAAACTTTCCGTATTCATTCACACAAATTTGTTCAATGAGCAAAAGACGCAAGTCACCATCCCTTGTCAAAAAGTCCCACAGGAAAGAAATGCTGTTCCTTAATTATTCTGGATTTAGAAACATGGTCACAAGCTGGAGGCTATAGCACAGTCAACCATTTTACATCTACTTGACGTATTTCTAACCAAACAACACATTTGTACCTGGCTTCACAGAATCTCTGCTGCACTCGGAAGTCTGGAATGAAGTCCTGTTCACAATTCCGACAGGCGAGTCATCTCCATCATGCTTTTTCTTGTCTATTTTTTTCTCACCTTCTTTTGATCTCCTCTGCTGCAAGTATTTGTGACATATTTAGTAGATACTACTTCGAATTTGTAAAGTCATCAAGTTTGCCTTGAGTTACAGTTAACTACCTCTGCTTCTGGAGCTTGACCTCAATTTAATACGACATAAATAGTTAGTATACCATACCACAAGTAACCAATAAAAACAGGAGCAGCCAGTTAGAAATTTATTTAATTTTATCTGCCTCGTTAACTGTGCTGGTTTTAGCACATATTATAGCCCAAGCAAGAGGAATTATTCCATAAGTTTCTAGACAACTGTACTTTTAAGATGTCATTTATCAGAGCATTTCCAATAGTTTAAAATTGTTTGGTCTTAAATGATCTAATATGATTTTCTGTAACTGAATTTCCTCTAGAAGAGGGCTAAAATCTTAAAAGCATTCCAACCTTTTGACTGAACTACGTATTATGGGCAAAACTAGGCAAGACTGATGTCACAACATCCAAAACACTTGGAGCAGACAGAAAGCAACTATGAAAGATACACCTATATGATCCCAGTAAAGGAAAGACATTCACCTACACTGTCAAGTCCTGAAAGCCTTGTGATTCTTGCAAGAAACATACATAGTCTGGCAGAGCTGGGCTCAGGGATCAGTACGGCAGGCAAGGAACAAGCAGGAGACTTGCACCTATGTATCATCCTAGATGAGCGGCTTAACTCTTTCTGAATACAGGATGCTGACCTAAATTCCAAGTACGTCTGGCAGCAACGTTATTTTCTTGGCGGTAGGAGAAGGCGCTTCCTGACCTCCAAAGCTAAATCACTAAAGCTTTAGCAGATGTGATCAAATTAATGCAAAGCTGCAAAGATCAATTATTTCTCTTCATGCTCACAAAAACAGTAAACAACAGGGAACCACGGCAAAACGTGTCAAACAGTACACAGCTCAGACCAAGCCTCTACAAGGATCACAAAACTCTTCCCTGGAGCTACACTGAGTTTCTTAACATTACATCACCTGTGCTAAAACTGAGCTAATCATCTCCCCAGACACCTCCAGTGGTTAATTTTTCTCTTGGCAAGAAAAGTACGAATTTTAGGTCTCTAGCCTTTGTATCTTATGTCTAGTAGTGCATGCCTAGGACCTAATCTTACAACTTCCTCTACACAGGCTTGACCACAGTGAAGTTACCAGGTCTCTGCCTAGGGAGTAAGGTCCATCAGAAGGATGTGACTGGAGAACAGATTACTTGAACCTGTTGGAAACAACAACAGCCTTACAAATCCAAGAGATACAATGTGTAACCACAGAGGAAATGGATTAAAGATACATTTGTTTTTTTCCCTGATTTTTATATTTTGAGGAGTTTGTCTATTTTTGCAAGAAAATATTATCCAAGTTTCAGAAAATTTATCCCCAAACAGGCACACATACAAAATGACAGAACACATTTACCAACATCTGTTTCACTTTTGCCTGTAAGAGAACATTTCTAACAGGAACCTTTCCTCCCTCTCCAGACCAACATGAATTCCTGCTCTCTTGTGGATTGGTTTCTTCATGTAGCAGGTCTTGGAAATCCTTAAATGACAGATGTGGTCTCACCACTTATCAGCCATACAGCTGATCACAGCCACCAGGTCTCTCTCAACTCAGGTTCACAGAAGCTGCCCCTGGGCTCAAAAAAAGCCCTTCCTCTCATCCTCCCCAAGGCCAAATAGTGAACAAAGGAAAGCATAGTTCACAAATGAATGCTGTTTTTTTTTTTATTTTCCTCCTAGATGCTTTTATCTGAGGAAAAAGAATTAAATTCCCCTCATGTTCCAAAAATACTGCTTGAAAAACTGTACTAATTTGAACTGTAGAATTCCATTAACTTTTTTGAAGTTGGGCACATTACTACCATCCTCTTTAAAAGCCATTCATTATCACTAGAAGAACAGAGAGTGATTATTCACTGCAAAAAATGAACCACACATTTAGAAAGATTGATTTAAAATAAGAATTTAATTTTAATTTTTCAAAACATGTATTTGCTCACCTTTGAAAGATTCTTACTTTCTTGTCTGATTGGATACGTTTGCTCAGCAGATTCACTGACTATTCCTGAACCATTGTATTGTGTTGAGTTGTTAGAATGATATCGTGAGCCTGCTACTGGATATACATTTGAAACAACATCAGGTGAGTAAGAGCAGCTGGAGTATTCACGGAAGGCAGGATCTCCCAGAACACTATGTAATGGACATTGAGAAAGAGATGAGAAGTCATCCCGGGGCAAATCTTCAGCATATATTTGTTGCCTAGATAAACATATCATTCCTTGGCTGAAGGAATTGTTTAACAAGAAAGCTGTATTTCAAAAGAAAACTGTGCCATGTTACTTCAATTAAGTATTTACTCACTGCTATAGACTGCTTTAAAAATAATTTTGTTTTGGGAAAACATGCAGTTTAGCAAATATTTTAAAACACAGATGTTATCTGTTTCCAAGTTTCAAAGCTAGTCTGTTTTGCAGTTATAGTCCTTGTTTCTGTTTATCAAGACTCTTTGTACTTATTTTCAGTAGGCTTTTTCTTGTGAAACAAACCAAAAAGCACAGTTTAACTACATGACATGCATTACAAGCTTGACTGCAAAAATGCAAACATTAAAGAGTAAGACCTGTCTTAAAATGCCACAATAACAAAGCAGGAGTACAGCATGTTATGGGGTATAAGACATGTATGAAACACAACACAGAACTGTAAGATAATAATTAACTGACCTGCATTTAATCATCATAGCTTAGGAAAAGAAAAAATGTCCGGGGCATGCCTTTTTCCTTCAAATGTATACTCAAAGTTCCTTTCCAATTTCCTCCTACACTTCGTACAGAAACTATAAGCCGAGATCCAAATTTGATTAGGGAGAAAGGAAATTTCTCAGCTTAAGAAAGTTGCATTTATTTTTTTAAAGCTATAAAGGTGACACTATAAATGTGTCAACCTCTGAATCCTGGGTAGATAACAGAAAAAACAGACAAACTTTCCCATCAAAACAAGAGAATTCAGATAACACATTTCTTACTGCCTGTTGCAATTCTGTAAGATCACAGTCAAAGCAACTCTTATAATCATAATTTACACACAGAGAAGAAAAGCAACAAATGAAAGTCGAAAAAATAACTATGGCTCAGTCCCAATAAGACAAAACATTTGTCAGAATATTGCTGCCGTCTGCTGAGGTTTTTTAAATGCTAACTGATTTAATGCTAATGCTGTGTTTTTCCTGACGCATAGAACACGCCATACTCACCTCAATGCTAAATTTCGACTACAAATCAGAATGGGTTGAAAATGCTGAGGTTTCTTGTAGGATAAAACAAAGGCCTACAATCATATAATCACGGAACAGTTTGGGTTGGAAGGGACCTTAAAGATCATTAGTTCAAACCCCTCTGTCATGGGCAGGGACACCTTCCACTACACCAGGTTGTCAAAACCTCATCCAGCCTGGCCTTGAACACTTCCAAGGATGGAGCGTCCACAGCTTCTCTGGAAAACCTGTTCCAGTGCCTCACCACTTAGAGTGAAGAACTTTCGCTAAGGCTCTAACTGAACTTGTTTGGTTGCACCAATAACTTCACAGTAATTGCGAAATTAATCCAATGCTTAGAGTTCTGAGAAGGTGAGAAGCAACTAGAGAACTACGTAACATCACAAGATTCTTACAAGACTTGATTATATCCTATCCTACTAGGTAGGGTTTTTTCTAGCTTGCTCTGGGGTTAACAATACTACCACAATGCCTTTTTCTTCAGGCCTTATAAGAAAAAGACTTTTAGAAACCTGTAGCATTCTCTTCAAACTGCCTTTCTGGAGATGCATGAGTTGTGGAGAGAAGATCCAGGAGGAGCCCCATACATTATTTAAAAGTTCTACAGCATGAGAAACCTTCTTGAAGGACCTTTCTCTTCCTTTTACATGGCTACATTTACCACAGCCTTACCATAACACAACCATTCTTTCACCCAAGGACTGGATTCAGCTCCTTCCAAAGCACAAACAAGTCACACTCATTGTTACAGACCAAGAAATCCTCCTTAACGCTCTGTAACAATACAGGCCTTTGGGAGCAAGAGACAAGGTACCAGATACATGCCCAAAGAACATCAATGCAAAAGTGTAAATCATGAAGACAAGGCACAAGCGTTTCTACCACTAGAGTATTAACGTATCCGAGCTTTGACTTTGTAAGAGTACTCAACTTCCGAAACCAGAAGGTTAAAATCCCCCAAGGAATAAGATTCAGAAAATATACATACTTATCCAAAGATGGTTCCTGAACAAATGGGTAGCATGTAGTTATGTACCTAGGAAAGACACATGCTTCTGAGGGTTCTGACCATGCCACAGTTACCGCCGCATGTTTTGGAACAAACGGTTTGACCTCGGCTGACAACTTGATGCCCTGAGAAACAAAACGTTTTTTGGCTACATGCATTTGGAGATTAATGTTATAAGTGAAAAATACTCATCCTCATGAGCTTAATTATTGTAAGAAAGTGTTAGTTTGCTCTCTTCTAACAAAACATGCAAAACAATAAAGCTTACCAAAAGGAAATGGAGGAAGAGAGAGAAACAAACCCAAGGAATTCTGAAAGAAACATGACTACTCTGGGAAGTTATTTCCTTTTATACTCACATTTATCATTAAGTACTCACAAAGGTCGGTTACAGAAAGGGCAGAGGCTTGCTTAACTGAAGATGGAGTAAACGCTAGTATATGAATTCTTAATTTGGATTTGAGCAATAAAACTCCCAACTTATGCTAGCACTTCCATAAAATCAAACTCTGGAAGTATGTAGCAATAATGGCTTTGTGTACATCTGTATTTTAAGGTAGTCTGTCTGCAAAGAATACTTAATTACACAGCCTTCTCGTTTCTGGCACAACACAAACCTACTAAGACAGATTTTCCATTTGTTCTGAGTTACCATCGACCTAAACTGGATACGTATATACGGAAGGACACTGAAATGAGACTCAAAGTATTTATTGCCGTTATAGTGTTACACGGCTTTACTCACCCTAATACACGTCACAAGTCATTCCTATGGCTGATTGCGTATTTTGGGGTAACTAACACACTACAAGAAAAGTGCAATTTTTCACTTGTCAAAAACAGTTTCAATAACCGAATAACACACCAGGCTTTTAACAACATTTGAACCCCAATTTCAATGCTTGAGCACATGAACTGGATCCCCTGCACCCTCAAGCGGCTCAGCAGCCACTTGTACCATAAACATTTAAAGAGCTCCAACAGCCTACAGTGAGTTACGACTAACTGCAAACTCTTCCGTTTCTGAGTTTACTAGGCAGGTCCGAACACACAACGAACACCAATTGCAACGGTAACAAACAAAACGTGGAATTCGCGCAGTGAAGCCCACTAAGGTATACGAAAAACATCAGCTTGGAAGTTAATCAAAGCAAGGCGTTATTGAACGACTACTGGGAATACCTCATCCACCGGGAATACCTCATTCACCGAACACGTAGCCTGTCACAGGAGCCAAGCGCGACTGCAGGCTCATCACTAACTCTAAAGACCCCCTGGTCTGATCAGGACACGACGTCACACGCAGCGCCACGCTGCTGCTGCCGGTCAGACCCCGCGGACGCGCCCGCGGAAGCCCTGGATGTCCGCCCGTCCCGGCGGCATTGCCGCTCTCTGAATGAGACGCGGGATTCACACTCCAGCTCTCCGGCGGCAACGCCAGGGGCTACCCGTCCCCAGCGCCGGGAGGCGGCTCGCCCCGTGGTTCTCCCCTCGGG